GGAGCAAACTGAAATTGCGGAGCTCTTCTAACTCATGAACAAGGTTGACCTGGTGCCCATGCAGACAATGGAATTTCCAACAGGAAGACCTTAGATGTATCCAGAGATGGCTTCTCAAGGATGTCTACAGCCTTGCGTAAAGGGGAGCAGTGAGAAAGGAGTGTTTACTCAGTAAGTGGTGGAGGCGCTCGGGCAGGGGGGCCGTTCACTGCTCTGTCGCTGGGGGCCCCTCAGCCTCTCAGGGTCTCATTTCCTCATTGTGTCTTGCAGGTGTTGGTCGTCCCCAGTAGCCAGACTCGTAGCAAGTGTTTAATAAATATTATCCTCATCTATCGTGAGAGCTAGAGGCCAAGCTACATGAGAGTCACACACCTGGTCCCCCAGGGGTGATCGCTCTGTTCTTTCGGGCATTGGCTGTTTTCATATTTAGGTGATGTGCTGGGACGACGTGAAATTGCTCAGAAGGCTTGAAGGATTTCACTGGAAGTAAAATAATATTTGAAGCTGGTGTAGTGATAATCCGTCCTTTAAAATGAAAAGCTATATTCAATTCCATGAAATGTCAATCAAATAATTTATTTATTCTACCTATTAAGTGCGCCATGAAGTGCCCAGAGTTTAGTGGGGGAAACAGACTCACCAACACACAGTTACAATGTTGAATGGTTGGTTGAACCAAGTGACCTCAGAATTTGGGGGCGGAGGAGGGACCTGGGAGGGGGTCAGGGATCAGTGGAATTCCACGTGTGCAGTGGAATCACGGCCTCCCTTGGGGGGTGCGTATGGTGGTTACGTAAGCTGGTTGGGCCAAGATCTGCAAATGTGCTTGACATTTTAACAAAACATAGATGTTATGGACTGAGTCTTTAAACAACCACACAGTCACACGCATGGGTGTTTGCATATCCATGCATGCACTTGTATCTGAAATGAATCTGTTTTCTCAGTAGCTGGAGCGAGGCTAGCAAACGACTTCCTTTTTGCTTTTTCTAGATGACGTTGGGGAAAGATGATGCAACCATTGTTGATTTCTTGTGTGCTTCTTCCCATCCTTCTCCCAGCATTTACTGGACATTTACTGTGTGCTGGCACTGTGTTTACTGTGTTAAGTGCTTTACCTTTATTCTCTCATCTGATTTTTCACAACCACTGGATGAGACGGTGCTATTATTACTCCCATTTCCCAGATGAATAAACCAAGACTTAAAACGATGAAGCAGATTGTTCAAGGTGGTAGGCCGCTAGTGAATGGGGCAGTCTGAATTTAAACCAGGCAGTCGGACTCCAGAGCACATGGTCTAAACCCCTCTGTGCTTAACAGTCTCTCCCGAGACTGCCCCGTGCCTACCACGGCATATGGTGTGTGCAGACACGAAACTTGTTGGTTGAACTGAATCAAACTGAACTACAAAGTGTTTAACTTCTGTTCCCAAGGGAAGTATACACTAGTGGTTTTCAACCCGGGCCGTTTTGCTTCCAGGGGACATTTGGCAGTGTCTGGGGATGTTTTGATTGTGACAAGTGGGAGGGGGTGTTAATGGCATCTGGTAGGTAGGACAGGGATGCTGCTGGACATTGTATAATGCACAAGACAGCCCCTCATGTTAAAAAATTATCTGGTCCAGAATGACAGTAGTGCCAATACCAGGTGGAGAAATCCTGGTCTGCATTATTTTGGTAACTTTCAGTAAAATATTGGGCCAAGATTACCTTTGATAACCACAGCAGCAAAAGGTTCATGCTTATCACATGTTTCCTAAGGAGGCTTTGAACATTTTCATCCCTGAATCCCTTTTATGAGCAGCTTATAAGTGTTATTAAATATCATGACTTGTCTTTGTCATCTCCTGAGAGAGAACATTAGCAAGAGGTGAGCTGATATCTGGTGTCATGGAAATATTATGCCAACTGGAGATGTGTGCTTTTAAGACTCCTGCTTTGTGAACTTTCTCTGCATTTTCTTTGTATAGCTTAAAAATGTAAAGAAAAATATACAGATATAGTTGTAGCATGTCTGTCTCCTGAATAAGATACAAACAGGCCAACTGGATTAAAGTAAATTGCATGCCTGTCAAATCGCCAGACACACTAAAATTGTCTCAATTCTGCATCCACTTCTGTTTACTTTGGATTATAAAAATACTTGCTACTGTTGTATGTTTTTCTAGATTTGACTATAATACAGTGCAGTAAATTCAGGAAAGTTTTTTTTAATTTTGATACTTACAGTGAAAAGTTTAAGTGTTGGTATTTGGCATTACATTCAAAATTTATCCATGTGCTCTCAAATAACATTTTATACTGTTGTAGACATTCTTGTAAACTGTCCCTTCAAAATAAATCTACCCTTCTAATGGTGAACTGTGATATCTATTTCTTAATGAAAAAGAACTAGGACTAAAAATCCCCACTATTGCATTGTTTTATTTGCCCACTCCCAAATGAATTGAACAGGTTATGATATTTACTACAATCATACATGTTGAAGTTTCAGGGATGAAGCTGTGGTCAACTATTGGGTCTCACTGGTCTTTAAATGTCCTTGTGTTTCTTAGGTCATGGGTGCTTTGTAGCACTGGCAGGGTCACTGCCAAGAGTGACATGGAAGAATCATTCAGTGCATGTTGGTCAACCAATTTCTGCTTGGGGGATTACTTTTTGGCTTAATCATGTCAAGTACATACATTACATATCATAAGTTAAATAGAAAATACATTAAAAGTTAGATGTCTCCCCAAAATATTGCCCATAATTGTCAAGATGCTTTTCCCTGCATTTTCTTCTAGTAGTTTTATAGTTTCAGGTCTTCCATTTAAGCCTTTAATCCATTTTGAATTGATTTTTGTGAATGGTGTGAGATAAGGGTCCAGTTTCATTCTCCTGCGTGTGAATATTCACCGTTGTAAACATTCAATAAAGGATCAGTTATTGAAAGACCATCCTTTCCTCCTAGTGTGTCCTTGGCATTGTTGCCAAAGATTGGTTGACTGTAAATGTGTGGATTTATTTCTGGATGACCCCAAAGCACAGGCAACAAAAGTGAAAACAGACAAGTGGGATTGCATCCAACTGCAAAGCTGCTGCACAGCAGAGGGAACAGTCAGCAGAGTGAAGAGACAGTCTATGGAATGAGAGAAAAAACTACCCATCTGATAAAGAGTTAATATCCAGAATATACGAGGAACTTAAACAACCCATTAGCAAAAAGCCTGCCCGACTAAAACAATGGGGAAAGGACCAAACAGACGTTTCTCAAAAGAAGACATACCACGGCCAAGTTATGAAAAGATGCTCGATATCACTAATCATCAGGGAAATGTAAATGAAAACTACAATGAGATGTTGCTTCACATGTGTTAGGATGGCTATCATCAAAAAGACAAGAGATGAGTGTTGGAGGATGTGGAGAAGAAGGAAGCCTTGTGCACCGCTGGTAAGATTGTAAAATGGTGCAGCCGTTATGAAAACTAGTATAAACATTCTTCAAAAAATTAAAAATAGAACTACCATGTGATCTGGCAATTCCACTTCTGGGTATATAGCTGAGGGAAATGAAATCAGTATCTTGAAGAGAGATCTACACTCTCATGTTCATTAGGGCACCATTCATCATAGCCCGACATGAAAGCAACTTAAGTGACTAGTGATGAATGAATGGATAAAGAATATGTGTGTGTGCGCGCACGTGCGTGTGTGTAGATAATAGAATATTACTCAGTCATAAAAAAGGAAACACTGCCATTTGTGACAACATGGATGAGACTGAAGGACATTACACTAAGTGAAATAGCCAGACACAAAATGGGGCTGTACATTGTCAAATGGTGCGACATGGTTATGTAGGATGAGTAAGTTCTAGAGATCTAATATACGGTGTGGTGTCTGTAGTTAATAATGTGTATACTTGAGATTTGCTGTGATAGTAGATCCTAAATGTTCACACCATGCGCACACAAAGTAACTATGTGAGGTGATGGATGTGTTCATTAGCTTGATTTTGGTTATATATCAGGACGTCACATTGTACACCTGAAATATATATAAGTTTTACTCATCAGTTTTATCTCAGTAAAGCTGGATGAAGGGAAGAACTTGACTTGACTCATGGAAATATATGTGGTGCTAAAATAATAACTTCAAATTGTGCCAAAAATTGTTAATCTGTATAACTAGTTTTTTAAAATTGAGGTTTAGACTGAAGCACCACCAGGATAGACATGAGATGCCAAAGTGGGGCACATGTTATACACAGAGTTGACGGGAAGTTTTTCCAAGTGGATTCCATCCATCTTGAATGTCTCTAACACATAGAAGCTCTAAAAGGAAATAGAGGGAGAATTTGTGAGTCTGTCAAGAGGTGCATTTAGAAGATGTTTCTGTGTCATGAATCCCAGTCCTCTCACTGGGGAGCGGGGTGCTTCTGCAGCCACTTCCTTTATCCTTGTCAGCCTTTTGGTTAAGAGTCTTCAGGGGAACAGTCCCCAGGAGTGAACTCTGGTAAGACCCTCATGAAATCATAAAATCACCCAATCTTGGTAAAAATTTCCCATCCCACCCCCAAGTCCCCCAGGTCTGAACAGGTAATCACTGGGCTTGGAGGCTGGGGGCGGCGAGGAGAGGGAAAGCAGGCAGATGCTGATCTGGCTTGATAAGGACGTGGGGACAGACATTCAAATTTATGATACGAAATTGTGTCTGTGACTTAAAGTCATTGTTAGATTGTTCAGTCCCTAACAGTGAGGGGCTGGTTTCCAACCAGGATCAGGTAAAGTTGTTCCCATTGAATGCATCGTAAAGAGGCAGTGGAAGACCAAAATAAAGATGAGTTTGGGTCATATCCTGTGAGTCTGCACTCGATGTACTGGGTAAAAAGGTAAAATTCTTTCATCAGCATTCTATGAAGTATTGTGTTGACTTATCCCGTCTCTGAAAAGTCTGAACTGAGTTTGTTTCAGGAGTACTAGGACTGACTTATGTACTTGTGGTCCATGTGATGTGCTTTACCCACTGGGAGGGAAAATATGGTCATATTTCTCTCACTTTTCAGTTAGTTGCTGAAGGTCCTAACTGTCTAGGAAGCAAGAATTCCACCATCTCCCTTAAAAAAATTGTTTTTAAACAGGGTACTCGGGATTGAACCCAGGACCTCGTGTGTGCACTCTACCACTGAGCTACCCCCACCCTCACCATATTCCTTTAGAGGTCTTTCTTTCCCGCCCCTCCATGAAAATTTCCAAGACTGTGGGCTGTCTGGGGGCCTCCCTCTTGGCTGTCATGACATTCCCGTTTGCACACACACTTGCAGCCGCTCTTCCCAAACCGCCATCCCAGGGCGGCTGGGCCTCCGGGGGCTTCCAGATTTAGTCCCAGACCCTGCAACCTTAGATCCTTGCTTTGAGCCAGGATATCAGGCCCGTCTTCTTCTGCCCTTTGTGGGTCTCATTCTTTTCTTTGGTGTCACTGGCTTCCAGTGGAGACTTGGTTGGGAGCCTCTCAGGCCATCGCAGGGCTTAACAAGGCCCAGAATTGCAAAAGGGAATCTTCCCCCTTCCTCCAGGAGGGTCTGAGTCCCCTGGCAACACGCACCATCTCTGTGTGACAGCCAGTTCGGCACAGTACGGAGTATTATCAGGCAATAATAGGCCCGCAGTGCAATGGCCTTCCATTGAAGTAACTAGATGATCTTCCAAATACATGAAAATAAGCTTCTAGGTGACTTGTGTTCCAGTGCAAGGCATGCCTTGTATATTTATGAGATAAACTGATCTGTGGACATTTGAATTTGGGAAGAAACTTGCTAGTACGTTGATCTTAAACTATAAAATGTGTATTCCAGTTGAAAGAAAAGTGTTCCCCAAATACCCGGGATGCATTTTAGGTCCATTCCTACAGCTGCTTCCACTTAGTTAACCACACCCCACCCCCGACACACACACAGACAACCCACACTGCTTTGGGGCAGTGGGTCTACGTCACAGGATGGCCACAGACCATGTGAGTGATGGGCCAGTCTGATTAAATTCCTTCTCCCTTAAGAACTTGAACCTGAAGCAAGGGCAGTGCTGTTGGTTAGTAGTAAGAGGAAAAAGAGGTGCAGGTGTTTCTGTGACTGTCAGTGTGGAGGGCTCGAGGGCAGACCCCCACATTCATGTGGCAGGGGTTCTGGGTCTGCTAGATCTTGACCCCCTCCCTCCTCTAGCCGGGGTGCAGCCATGCAGTTATGACATTGGTTCCGGGGGCCCCACGAGGGGCCTCTCGTCACTCCTCACGGGAGCACCTCCTTATCTGCTCCACTGGTGTAGGGGGGATTTTTGTCCTTTGCAACTTATTGAGACTAAAGTGGAACAAGCTGATGGGCCGGAAGTCTCTCCACCTGTTTGGAGGAGAAATGAAAATCCCATTAACTTCTGGGGTGTTGAGACCGATCGGGGATTATTTTCTTACTTGTTTTTGCTAGAGACCCAAATGAAAGGCAAAGGTGGTTTTGCAAAACGACTCATTTATAATCCGTGTTCAGAGGCTGCCTTCCCTTCTCCAGTTCTCCCCAAAAAGATGATGCAGACAGTGTTCCTGGTGCAACATTCTGGCGTCTGGTGGAGCTGAGACACTTACTCCATTTGCTGTTGGAGACATCATTTCTGAGGACCATTGACCAGAGACTCTTACAAGTTCTGATATTAAATCTAGTGGAGCACCTGACTTTCTTAGCAAAAGGGACACAATGAATCCTCAGTGCTATCATAACACTGTGATTAAACCACCCATTACACTGGTCGTGGCAATTTCCCCTTGTGTACTTGAAGTAGCGCTATGGTTGGGCACGTGTCTTACAAGATCAGATGTCAAAACTACGATTAGCATTTTAACGTACTTGTGGCTCAGATTTATGCTGGGCTTCCCTAGTTAATATATAAAACACCTTAAGGTCATATTCATGCTCCCTTAATCTTTCAGATGAACGGGAGGCAGCCTGGCAATGTGGTGTGTGTGGCATAGGTGAAACCCTCCCTCAGTGTCTACCGCACATGTCTGTGCCCAATGCCAGAAATCCATTCACTAAATCACTTCTTCATCGTATTCAGCATAATGAATGAATTAATAACTCTATGTGCTTAGTCAACGAGCCCTTGTTACGTGTCAGAGATTGCACAAGACCCTGGTAAGGAAAGGGCAGGGGTGTGAAGGAGAGAGATTAAAGTGAACAAGACGCAGCCCCTTCACTTAGGAAGTTCACAGTGTAGTTTGAACATAGTCATAGAAGGTTGAGAAACAGGTAGGGTTTGGGGGAAAACCTGAGACAGTAGTGTGGCTGGATTGCAGAGGGCTTTGTGGAGAGAATCTTGGAAGGTAGTTTTCAAAGGGCAGATTGTGACCCTTAGTGAAATGCCTTAATGCCCCGTCAGTCAGAGTCTAGTCAGGAAAAGAGAAGCCACATCAGGTACTTTAGAAGAGGGAGTTTAACATAGGGGACTGGGCTCACAGGTGCTGATGTGAACAGTACCCTGAGGAATCCTGATGTGCAACTGTAGGAGGCAGGTGCCACCCTAGGCCTGGAAACTTGGAGGAAGAGGTGGGACTCAGGCTAATGAGGAAGGGTCAAGACCCAGCTGCTTCCAGGACCTCTAGGGGGTGTAACTGGGCCGTTTGTGGGAGCAAAAAAAGAAGTTGGAAACTGGAATGTACTGTCACCACTGGGCCAGAGTACTGGGGTGAAGGTGGCAGGAAGCAAATAAGAGGCAAGAAGTTCCTTCTCTCCCCGCCTACTTGGATCAGTTTCTTTCTAGTGTCTTCTAGACACTTAGGAGGCCCTAACAGGAGGCAGCTGTCAGGGGAGTCAGAGACAAATGAGATACAGAGTCAGAGCCCAGCATCCCGGGAGGGTTTAAAGAGCGTTTGGAGCTGAGAGCCAATAGCAAAGGAACCAGCCCACAGGT